AGTACCTGGCTGAGCACCAAACTAAGCCTGAGCCTGAGCTTTTGAGGAGACAGACAGCAACAAAATTGGTCCTGTGTCAAATTTTTCTCATTCTGTTTTCTTTCTGATTTAATTTTCCAGAGATTAGGGCCCATTCACCTTCACTGCAGAGAGGGCCTTGCCTGTGTGTGCCTTCTTTCACTCCCAGGGTTGGTGGGGTTAGTGGATCAGGCTGCTTCTGCCAGGCCTCTGTCTCCTCCCCTGCAAAATAGCCTCACCTGCCACCTGTCCTTCAGCATCAGCCCTTTCAGGCCAGCTAAACCCTAATTCCTAAATGCAGGGGACAGAACTCCTGAGTGTGTCCTAAGACAAGGGCTTGGATCAGATAGACCCCATTTGGATTCCAGCCCTGCCTGGGACTTTACCTCTCTAGCTTTCAGAGTCCTGTGTGCTAAACGGTGATGACCAGAATGGACCCTCTTCAAGAGTTATCGGGGATCAGTAAGATCAAGTGTGTAAAACCAGGGTAGCCAGAGCCAACATTCCACTCCACAATAAATGGGTCATTTGCTCCTTTGGCTTCTGTGGCCTTTATTACCTTTTCCCAACCTCTCCCTTTTTTCCCTATCCTTGTGTAGCTGGGTGCTAGTTCAGGTGCACACCCCACTGCTGCTCACTTTCTGGGACTTTGAAAACTGCCCTCTGATAGGGGTCTGTCATGTCACTTGTTTTGAGGTCTTTTGTCTTCTGTGGTATCTGTCTCTGTGATCCTGGTATTTGCAGGGTGATAGATGCTTTATTCCCTACCACCACCACCACCCCATTAGGACTCTTGGGAGCTGTGGTAACAAGGCAGGATCCTTCTGCCCTGCCCAACTCCAGATTTCCTGTCCAAGATCACAGTTCCTCGGAGGATCCCCCAGGTTCACCTCTCATTTATATGGAGCCACCAAGAAAGGAAGAGGCTAGGAAAAGGGTTTGGGCCCCCTGAGGAGCCTTCAGCCCCCACAGAGTCTGCAGACCCCTAGGCCAGGATTTTGGCTGCACATGGCACTTAGTAAGAGTCGTTAGAGCTAAAAGAGGGCTTAGGTGGGAGCTAGCAATGAGAGGAGGGGAAAGATGGAGGGTCTTTTCTCCATAACTTACAGGGTGGATGCCTTCAAGGGTGAGTAGTGACTATAAGTACATCATACAAGATAGAAGAGCCAGGACCCCTGAGAATGAAGGGCTCCAAACAGCCTTCCAAATGTCTCTCTACTACCCCTGCACTCTCTGTTCCTTAACCCCTCTTTCCCCGTCTCCTGGCCACTCCCACATGCCCCCTGGCTCCATCCACTGCCCTGTCCCACCACGATCCTTCCATCCCACATTCTTTCCCAAGTAACAACTGACGTGTAGCAACAGACTGCCAGCCCCATTGCTCTCTCTGGCCAGTGGCCTGGGTAGAGTGGGGCCTTCTCAGACTGTGCTGCTGTAGGAACTATTGGATTTTTCCAGTTAACTCCCTGGGCCAAGGACACTGGTAGGCATGTGGTCCCACATGGTTGCTGAGGCTCTGCACTGCTATTCCCTGGCCTTTCTGCCCCTTTCCAGCTGGCCCCTGGGACCAGGGCTGGGGACTAGAGCTCCAGGAGAACGAGTCCTAGGTAGAGTCCAAGCTCTGGAGTTACCCTGAGCCCTCCTGGACTCCATGTAGGAAGCACTTCCCTGGACTACATCAATGTGGAGATGACCTATCTCCTGGGGTGGGGCCATCTGCTGGGATGTTTTGATTGGATCTCCCCAGGGCTCAGGGCTCGGCTCAGGGCCCACACTGAGGAATAGGAGAATGCTTTTAAAGGGCCAGGGATGTGGCTCAGTGGCACTGCACCTGCCTGGCAAGCACAAGGTCCTGAGTTTGATCCCTGGTACCAGAAAAAAAAGAAAGAGTGAATGCCTTTAGGTAGCTGGGACAGCTGGACAGGTCCAGAGGAATGGAGAGGAAAGGGTGAAGCACTAGGGGCCTGCCATTCAAGGACTTTCACACCTCAGACTTGGCTGACAGTTTGACGAGCCTGTGCCATTCTGAAATTCTGCCCTTGTCTCCCCAAAAACCCCTTTTGGCATATTTCCCTGCTTTCACTCTAGAAAGGATTTACATAGTCAGGGAAAGGTTAAAAGGAAACAGGAATGGCATGAGCAAAGGTATGGCAGTGGGATGGTGTTGGGACCCAAGGCTTGCAGGAATATGATAGGTCAATGGCCAGAGAAGTACCAGGTGCCAACAGAAGGGCACCATGGTGGGTCCTTTGGTAGAAGTAGAATGGGAAGAAAGTATGGCTGAGGCATCCATGGGCTCCAAGGGCTCACAACTTCAGGCAAAAGAGAGGAATCAGACCTGGGCTCCAGAGCTGTGCTCTTAAATGTGGAATTAGGCAGATGCCTCTGTTGAGTGTTCGTTGCACACTGATATGGTACTTGAGGAGAGTTTGCAAGGCGCTGGCCATAGCTATACCCAAGGAGTGGCGTCCTAATGTCTGGGCTTCCCTGTTATCACTGCTGAGGCTGAGGTGTTAGGGACAAGGACCAGATGGCTAAGGGATCAGAAAGGAGAATCTGGAGCTAGATGTGGGCAGATCCCAGGAGAGTGAGGCTGCCAACTCAGAAATGGAAGCAGATGCCTTTAGACAGCTCTAGGTGTGCAGCTCTAGCAGGGAGTAAGTGGGGGCAGGGAGGAAACTATGATTCTTTCCAAAGAATTATAGTGATCCTAAACAATAGCAGTAGCAACAATAGTACAGGGTTCTCAAGGCATGAATCAAATTGTCCTTGGCTGAAGAGGTGAGGATTGCCATTCTCTTTTAATATATTTGACACTGAAGGTTCAGAGATGGATGACTTTTGGCAAAATCTCAGCTTCCAAGACTTTGTGTCATCTGTCTGGGGCCCTGAGATGTGGCCCTTAGACCTGGAGATCTACTCTCTTTCCAGGCCCCGAGCCCCAGTCCAATCATCATGCCAGGCTGCAAGGGGCATGTAAGCCTTGGGAGAAATATCAGGGGACCCACTTAGTCCACATTGGATTCTGGGAATGACCTTCACAGGATAGCCTGTGAGGAAGCTCCAGGCAGCCTCCTCCTGGAGGAAGCCAGGCAGCCGCACCCCCTGCTGGCCCAAGAGGGCTAGGATGCTGCTCTGCATGATGGCTAGAGCTCATTCAAGGGGCTGTGGTCCAAGGTAGGGGAAGGGGATTTTTTTAATGTCCCCAAGCCCAAAAAAGATGGTTCGGGGGTACATGGGGCTTTGCCACTCATTCAATAGCCTTGACCTGTCCTCTCTCTAAGCCTCAGTTTCCTCAATATAAGGCACAGGTTCCCTGCATTTTTCTACCATCCCCAGGTTCCGACCTCTCCTCTCCCTCTCTCCATCACTGTCCTTATTCTGAGGGCCTCTGGATTGAGGCAGGGCCTGGGGCCTGGGGAATAGCCTGCCCCAGTGTCCCCTTAGGGTTCCATCCCTCCTGACCATGGAGCCAGGCCTACAACTTGCCCCCTGATTGCCACTGCTCTACAGGAAAAAACAACTTCACTACAAATTATTTTGTACTAAGAGAAGGACAAAAAAGAAAAGAGAAACTGGGAGGGGTGGGGGCGGTGGTAAGAGAAGATTGCCAGAGCCAGCTTCGTGTGGTGCTTTAACCCTTGGACTGCCAGGTGCTGGGTAGAGGCAGAGCAGGAACTTTGGCAGCATCAGCCCCTGCCCATCCCGTCAGATGACAGAAGCTTTATCTCCACCATCTTCTATCACTCAACCTTATCTCTCTCTGCATGTCTGTCTCTCATCAACTGCCTCGGTCACATCCTTGTCTCTGCTCATAATCTCTTATCTGTCTCCATATCCCTCCACTTCAACAGCCTGGCTCAGGCTGGTGACATGGTTCTGTAGTGGCAGCCCAGACTGTGACCTCTGCTGGTGAAAGAGCCACCTTGGGGCACAGACTCCTTAGGTCACCTGAATGCATACACAGACCTGGTCCAGCCTAGAGATATGCATGGGGCGATTAATGCATACATGCACACACACATACACACACACACACACACACACACACACACACACACACACACGATGCATACACACACATACACACGTGTACACACATAGGCCTCAGCTATAAACAAAGATGACTGAAGGAATCTGCTTCTAAGACCCATACAACTCCCAGACTATGTCTAGAGGACCTAACCCCACCCCATCCCGTAGGCACTCACATGTGCACACAGATGGTTGTGTTGAGTGGTATCACAAACACACACCCCATCAGATTAACACTGCCACATGTGCATGCGCACAGACCCATCCACTGAGGAGTTGGGATTGGCAGATTTATTCCCCACAGCCCACTCCCTCTTCTCTTATCCCTGCCCCCATATTTTATGCCATGAGTGACAGAGGAGCCCCCAGGGTACCCAGAACTTAGATACAATTTGTGCAGTATCCTGGAGCAGCAAATGGGGTATAGATGCCTGAGGCTATGGAGAGAGGTGGCTGTGTGAGCATGGCTGTGTGGCTATATAAGCATGTGTACTTGTGCAGGTGTCAGAGCATCCTCATTTTGGGATGAGGCTGTGTGGTATGTGCTTATTGGCTCTACCTCTCCCCGGTGCCCTGCCTCTTGCCTGCCATCCAGTTTACCCTTACTCCCTACTATTCTGAGCCACTTTAAATGACTCAGTAGGTGGTGCTTATGGTCCTTGAAGGGAGGATCCTGACATCCAGAGAAGTTGGTGACAATGTGGACCATCACCAAGAACTGCTGACCACCAACAGGTCAATACTGGGCCCTCATGCCATGCAAGCTATAGAGCCCCAGCACTGCCTTTCCCACAGACCAACCACAAGGCCACTGGACTCTGCTCTCTAAGCTGGGGGAAGGGCATGAAGGCTGAGCCAAGTTGAGCTGTGCGGAGACAGTATGTTGAGCCCTAGCATGGGAATGTGGGATCCTTTTGGCTTCACCTCCAACCTCTGCTTCCTTCTAGATCTACAAGGACAACCGGAACCTGTTTGAGGTACAGGAGAATGAGCCTCAGAAGCTGGTGGAGAAGGTGGCAGGGGACATTGAGAACCTATTGGACAGAAAGGTGCAGGCCCTGAAGGTAGGCTGGTGTATTGGCAGGAGAGCCATTAAGGGAGTATCCCTGACTGTGAGTGGGGCAGTGTCTCAATCCTCTGTCATTGCACAGCCCTTAGCCCTCTGAATTTAGGTGGGGCAGTCATCGGCAAGGCTGCACTCGTGGGTACTATGGGCGGCTATGACAGGAGCAGGACAGTTTTTATCAGGAGTCTGCTGCGTGAAGGAGAACATAGAGTCTCAAACCCAGGCATCTGTGCCCTTCTATCCTGTCAGGCCTGGGGTCCTTCCATTCCTCTGGGTATCCTGGTCTGTCTGTGGGTTGTGCTGTGGACAAGACAGTGCCCTGTTGATGGTGGAGTCTCTGTCCCTAGGGCAGGCTGCAGGCTTTGATGGGGAGGGACTTTGGGTGCCCTACAGAGAAGGCTATGGCTATATAAGGCTGGAGCCCCTGCTCTGCCAACTCTGGGCCTCAGTCTCTCCATTTATACTCAGGGAGGTTGTATCTGTTGTACCTGTCAGCCCCAAGGCTTAGGGGTTGTATGGAATACATGAACTTTTAGGTCCTGACAAAGTAGGCACACTTGCTACTCAGCCCCCTCCCCACTCAAACTGGAGGGTTAGGGCCCCTGGAGCTGGTGCTGGGTCAAGTATAAATAAGCAAGAAGCCTTAAAGCTGCCCCAGATCAGAGGCACCCCTGCGACTGCCCCAGCCTGTCAAAGCTGTGCCCCTTACCCAAGCTAAATAAAAAAAACAAAGTCTTGATAATTTCTACAACATGAATGACTCAAAGGCGTTGTACCAAGTGAAAGAAGCCAGTGATAAAAAGCCACATATCACGTGATCCCATTTCTGTGAAATGTCCAGAACAGGTGAATCCACAAAAATAGAAAGTAGATTTGTGGTTGCCCAGAGCTGCAGGGAAGGGGTGAGGGGATTTCTACTAATTGGTACAGGATTTCTTTTAGGGTGATGAAAATATTGTAACATTAGATTGTAACGGTGGTTGTACAACTCTGAATACACTAGCAGTCGCTGAATTATATACCTTATGTGAGTGAATTTGCTAGTATATGATGAATTATATCTCAATAAATCTGTTTTTTTTTTTTTTTTTAGTTGTTGTTGTTTTTGTTTCTTTTTAATGAGCAATTCCATGCATGCCATAGCCAGGCACAGGCCAGAGTTTAGGTAGTTTCAAGTCATGCTGCCACCCCCATCCCAGGCCATATCCAGGCCCCAAGACACAACTAGAGTCCCCTTCTCCAAGAAGCTGGGCCCTGCTGTCCCTCATGGGGTCCCCTGCCTGTCCCTGTGTGATCTGGGATCATGGAAGGGGGAGGCTTGCCTCCTAGGGCCAGGAATCCAGAGAAGATAGACTCTGAAGGCCTCCCACCAATATGGACGCAGAGGTTCCAGCCCCACCTGGCCCTCAGGATCTCCTGGGCATAGGTTTGGGGAGATAGTTGGGGGAACAAACTGCCCTGGGATGAAACAAAGGCAAGTCTGACAGCCCTACCCAAGCAGCACATTACCCCATATTGCCACATACATCCTTTCTCTTATTCTCTAGCTCCCTGTCTCTCCTTGATTTGCATGCTTGCTTCCTAGCTTCGCTGTCCTACGCCCAGTTTACAGAGTACAGTATCCCCAGAGCAACCTTGAGTTGAAAGCCAAGGAATATGCAGGAAGGAGCATCCTTAAGGCCATGGGTCTGCTGCTCCTGGGCTTTAGGACTGGTTGTTTTGGCAGAGGGCTGCTGAGTGGTGGCAGTGACAAATAACCATCCCTGCACACAGGGAGCCCAGGGCCCAGCCCCCTGCAATCCTCTTTAGGAACCATGTGCTGGAGTCTTTCCCCAGCCCCTTAACCCAACTCGAAAGGAATAATCAACCCTGGTGATTTGGTGTGAGGCACCAGGTGCAGCCAGAAACCTAAAATCCTGGTCTTAACCCTCTCCCATACCCTGTAAGGCAGGACAGGAGTCTGTCTCCTTTCCATGCATCTACGGCCCAGCCCATGGCCTGGTACCTGGTCAGTACTTAATAATGTTTGATAGGAAAATGATAGAAAAGGCACACTGCCATGATGGGGAGGACCTGTTCACTCATTTCACCGAGGGAAAAACAGAGATGCCATGTGTCAAGACAGCATACAGCAGAGCTAGGATTTGAACCCAGGTCTGTCTAACCCTGAGCCAGGCCCCAACTCCCCACATTGCTCTAGAGATGTTCACTGAGCCACTGCTCTCGCCCTGCCAGTACTCTCCTTTCCATTGACCCCTCCTGCTACTGCATCTCCTGGATCCTGGCCCATAAGACCATCCTGTCCATTTCCTCAGAACCACCCTACCCACTCCTTGGGCCTAATTGTTCACAGTGAGCTTTGATCTTCATTAGGTTTTAAATTTGCTTTTAATCAAGTTATGGTCCCTTTCTTCTTTTCCATGTCTGTTTGCAGCCTAAGTGCACAAGGAGGGAGGGCTTCTGCCCCATCCCCCATGCATTGTTCCTTTCTCCCTAGACCCCATCCAGTAATCCAATTTAAATCCCTTACTCTGGTCTGGAATTTTAATTTGGGCCTTGCAAAGAGGGAGCTAAGCAACACAGGGCAAAAGTTCATTGTCTCCTCTAATTGAGGACAATAAGATGTTTCTCCAGGCTGCTCAGCGCAGTTTCCAGGGCCAAGAGTCAGGTAGAAGCAGGCCAGATCAGGGCCTTGCAATACAGACAAGAACCGTCCCTAGGCCCAGCAAGCCTGCTGAGCCCTCAGCTTTGGTCACGTGGAGGGGAACTGTCTTGGCACTTCCCCTACCCAAGGAGGTGGGCCTCTGAGCCAGGGCCTGCTCTCATAGGGTCTTGAGTCCCAGGAGAACAGGAAGACGCTGAAATTCTATGGCATACCGTGGGCAAAGTTGGACCCAAATCAGCACATTCCTGTCCTCTCAGCTAGAGACTTGGCACATGGCCCCTTTCTCAGAAAGGTCATCTCTTCACTGTTATATTCCTCCCTCCATCTAGTCCCCAACATTCACTGCTGGCCTACTCTGTGACAGGCACTGTGCTGGAGTGCCATGGGGAAGGACAGCCTTGTTCCTGCCTTCATGGAGCTCCCATATCAGTCCCTTCCCAGGCCCCAGTTTTATCTATGTAAAAGAGACACAAAAGCCAGATACAACAGGCTGTGAAATAGAAGGATCATTTGAGCCCAAGATAGTTAACACAGCAAAAGCTCATCTCAAAAGAAAAATAAAATACACACCCGCACAGAGAGAGAGAGAGAGAGACCAGCAGCCTCTCAGCTAGAGTCCATCATTCATAAAGGCCACAGTCTGTACAGTATCCTTGAAAATCATACCACCTACAGCACCATCCCTAGCACTTTTGCTGTATGGCTCAGAGCCATGTGCCATGGGAGGGGGCATAGCCTTGGAGAAGATAAAAGTAGCCCCTTGAAGAAGTTCTTAGCCTTCTCTTTGGGACAAGACTAAGGGCATTGTGGCTCAACAGGCTTATTTCCTAGAAAATGGGAAACTCAGGACCAGGGTGGCCAGGTTAGAGCAGGTTTCTGAGGACATCAGTGCAGAAGCTGGGATCTAAGAAGTCTTTTTCTCTTCCAAACCCCAACAAGTAGAGACAGTGGAGAGGCCTGGCTGTGACGCCAGGACCTCCAGCCATGTTTACATCAGGTCCCATGCATTGTCCCAGGGGCCAAGACCTCTCCAGATACTTCGCCTTTGCCCCTTTGCCATGCTTTTTAGCCCTGGTTGTAGTTGGAACCAGCTGGGGGGCTTTTAAAAGCTGCACCTCAGACCCAGTATTTCAGATTCTCCAGAGGTGCCCCAGGGCATCAGTGTTTTTCAGTGCTCCACAGATGATTCTTTGTAGACTCAATCTTCCCTTAAAATGGCAGAAGTAATGAGTGCCCACCAAGTGCCAGGCCTAAGATGAACCTGAATGCTCCTGATTGCCCACAAATTACTGTGTTACTTCTTTTGCTTCTGTTTTCCATGTGAGGAACTGAGCCTTAGGAGAGATCCTGTAGTAAATCCAGACTGTAAGCTGGGCGTGGTGGTGCATGCCTGTAATCCCAGCACTCGGGAGGCTGAGGCATAAGGATCGCTATGAGTTCAAAACCAGCCTGGGCTACACAGTGAGTTCCAGAGCAGTCTGAACTACATACCTGTCTCAAAAAACTAAAAACAAACAAACAAAACCAGACTGTAGATTCAGGCTGCTCTCACCCATAGAAACGTTTCCCTGACACTGCCCCCTTCTCTTTGCTAAGATCAGTGGCCACATGGTGTTTGTTGTTCTCAGGAGAAAGGGCTGAGGAAAGAGAATATGGGCACTGGTCTTAGACATGGGGCTGGTGTTGGATGACCTAGTGACCTTGGTCAAGTCCCTGTTTCCTCAGTTTCTTACTTGGGCAGCAAGCAGCCCTTTCTCAGTGCCAGCAGGCTCACATGGATGGAGCAAGGAAAGGTGCCTTGGTTCTTGGGGCTCCAGTGGGCAGCATTCTCACCCTCCAAGGCCTCTCTGGGGAATGAGCATCATTTAAAAAGTAAAATTAAAAACCCTTCTTCTACACACAGCCGCCCTGCTTTTGCTGCTAATGGCCACTTAACCCAATTAAACTGATGCATTGTTGGCAGTGTGGCTGGGTCTGTTCAGGAATGGGCTCCAGGCTGGGTGATCAGAGGAACAGGAGGTTAGTGCCGGGGCTGTGAGGCAGCCAGCTCCCTGGGTCAGAAGGGAGAACATCCACAGTTCTGGCCCACTCACTGCTCCCTCTGAAGCTTTGTCAGCACAGGGTTTCTTGGCCTTAGATGCATTGAACAGGATAAATCCTAGTTTTGGGGACCTGCTCTGCACTGCAGGGCATTGGCAGCATCCTCGCTTCTACCCACTAGATGCCAGTAGCACACCAAAAATGTCTCCAGGTGTTGCCAGATGTTCCTTGGGAGGCAGAGTTGCCTCAGTTGAAAGCCACTGGTCTAATGGTACAGAGAAATGTAACTACAG